TGCGGGGCTCAACTCCTGGCCAGGAGGAGCGCTAACTCAGAATCGCAGTGTTGCTTTGTGACTGGATGGGAGGGAGCCCCTCAAATTGACTTCTGGTCCAGTGAGACACCACAAGAAGGCCATGCAAATTTCCCACCCCCACCCTTACTTGCGTGCCCACGCATGTACCTTTTCAGCCATGTGAGGGCTTTAAGGACCCCACCCCACCCCCACTCCATCGCTCTGGGCTTCCTGTGGGATGCCGCCCAATTAGTAATGAGGCCCACAGTGTGGCTGTACACTGGGGCAGCTCCCTGCCCTGAGCCCTGCTCAGCCCCCACCGTTGTAGGACGTGTCCTTGGTGTAGGAACTGCGGCGCCCCCACTCCTCTAAAGGTGCTGTTGCCCCTTTTGCTGGTTTCCAGGGGCAGGACTCAAGCGCCTCCCACTGCCACCACTGGGCGCCCTACTGCTGTGGGGTATGTGCAGCCTGCATTGCCCCAGCGCCACCCCGCTCCCGATCCTGAGCCCAGTCCTGTGAGCAAGGTGGCAGGGTGGGCTGGGGCCAGTCCACACAGGGGTGAGCTTGCCAAGCCTCTTAAAAGCTTAACATTCAGGGCTGCCTCACCCTGTCCCTCGGACTCCAGAATCCAGGGGAGTTTGGAGGGGAGGGGTTGGCGAAGGCAATTTGGAGTCCGCTGTGGGTGGTGTTTTGGTGGCCTGACCACAGCTCACACGGTGGTGAGTAGTGAGGGCTGGCTGAGGGTTCAGGACTCTCCTTGTTGGTAGTGGACTAGGTTGCCCCTGGCCCCAGAGCCACCTGAGAGGAGGGAGCAAAGACTGCTGTCTGTGATAGGCTCCCAGCCCCAGCTGGCTGGGTAACCCTTAGCAGAGCAGGTCCTCACTTGCCTCCTGACCTCACAGCCCAACAAAGGCATGCCGGCAGGTAAATCAGCTCTTGGGAGCCGTGCCAACCCTGGGGACTTTGTCCCAGAGTGGGGCTGTGCTCCCGAGGGTCTGCAGGGCTTTCTGGGTAGGTTGCCAGGTGTGTCTCCCTGGGCACCTCCAGTTGGGCTCAAGCTGCCACCCCTTCGTTGATGCCACCCACAGCTAGTCTTTGGCTATGTGATCAGTTTACCCGAGTGAGGAAAAGCGCATGGTCCAGAGTGAAGAGGGAGTGTGCCCAGCACCTGGTTCCTCTGGGCCTTCCTCTGCTGGCCCAAAGGAGCAGGGTGGGAGGCCGGCAGGTGGCCAGGCTCTGGGCTCAACATTTTCTTCAGAGGACAGGTCGTCTCCCAAGGAGACCCTTAGCACTCACTCTTGACTTCACTTCTGTGCAGTGACCCATATTTCAGACTGTCCTGGGCTAGCAGTGTGTCCCTTAGCTCAGAACTAGGTGGCTTATGCAGATTAGATTTATCCAGACTAACTATCATTCAAATTTACCTGTCCAGCCTGTGAGTGGGCCCTGGACAGCAGTGCCCTAGGGCCTGGATGCTGTTCAAAAGGGGTGAGAAATCACTGTGGTGCACACTTGGCAGAGCCTGGTACTCAGCCCTGAAGTCGTAGATTCAGCCCTGCCACTCTGCCACAGCCCTTAGCCACCTCGGGTCCCTGAAGGGTCCCGCAGGCCCAGGTGGTCCCAGGGGACCACCCTCTCATTGTGATCACCCAGTGTGGGTGTGGGTGCGTGAGCCTGTAAATGTGGATGCATGGCTGTGAGATGTAAATGTGGATGTGTGGTTATATGGTGTGGGTGTGGTGAGTGTGAATGTGAAGGTGTATATGTTAAGGTATATGAGTGAGTGTGGGTGTGTGAAGGTGTGAGGGTGAGTGTGGGTGTGAGTGAAGGTGTGAAGGTATGAGTGGGTGGGGGTGAGGGTGTGAAGGTGTGAGTGGGTATGAGCGAGTGAGTGTGTGAGGGTGAGAGGGTATGAGAGTGTGAGGGTGAGAGGGCGTGAGTGAGTATGGGTGTGTGAAGGTGTGAGTGAGTGTGAAGGTATGAGTGTGTGGGTGTGAAGGTGTGAGTGGGTGTGAGTTACTGAGGTGTAAGTGGGTATGAGAGTGTGGGTATGAGTGAGGGTGTGAGTTACTGAGGTATAAGTGGGTGTGAGTAGAGTGTGATCACCTCTTACATCTTCAGTATTTCTTTAGGGTGCTCACTGTTTTTTGGGGGAGCCCAGAGGTTGCCCAGGAAGGCAGCACCTTGCAGAGGGCCCACCAGGGTGATTCCCAGGCCGGGCCAAGGCTCCTGAGGTCTGGTAGTTTGTCCTAAGCTTGGCCACTATGGCCTCTTCACTTGGAGACAGAGCTACTTGGTGTGGGAGGAGTGGCTTGTGGCCTTACGGCAGGGGAGGCAGTGCTGGCAGCTGTCCCTGAGGGCACCTGGGAACACTCAGGTGGCACCTCATCGTGGCCTGTGCTGTGCTGATGGGCTTTTGACTTTAAACTTTGTTTTCAGAGCACGCATCTTCAGCAGAGGGATGCTTGGCGGGGGGGTGGGGGGGTGGGCGTTGGTGTGTATTTGGGTGTTGGGGTATCAGATAGGTCACAGTTTGAATGTCAGAGCAGTGTCAGGGGCCCCATCCCCCCGGAGAGAGGGACAGGAGGCTCCCTGGTCCTCTGCAGGGGCGCAGCAGGGGCGGCACAGCATGGGCGGTGCAGTGAGTGCGGGGGAGGACAACGACGAGCTAATTGACAACCTGAAGGAAGCGCAGTACATCCGCACGGAGCGCGTGGAGCAGGCCTTCCGTGCCATCGACCGCGCAGACTACTACCTGGAGGAGTTCAAGGACAACGCCTACAAGGACCTGGCCTGGAAGCATGGCCACATCCACCTATCAGCCCCGTGCATCTACTCGGAGGTGATGGAGGCGCTGGACCTGCAGCCCGGCCTCTCCTTCCTCAACCTGGGCAGTGGCACTGGCTACCTCAGCTCCATGGTCGGCCTCATTCTTGGTATGCAGCCGCCAGAGCTGGGGAGGGGGTGACTCTGAGTGGACCGATGTGGCCCGCGGTGGGGGTGGGGGCAGGGTGTCTGGGTAGGCTGGAGTGGCCCCAGGCAGGTGTTGGTGGGGAGGGGGGTCTGGGGCCCACATGGTGGCTCCGCCCAGAGGAGGAGAGTGGTGTTTTGGGGAGGGGGGCGGGCGGGCAAAGCTGTCATCACAGGCGAGGCCGCTGCCGGAGTGGCCAGGGGCTGCACTGCTGCCCTGTGCCCATCAAGGATGAGAGGCCATTCTAAGCAGAGTTTGGGTTTGTGTCTTTCTGGCCTAACACTGGAAGAGAACCAGGGTGATGTGAACCCACCACCCACCGAGGTGCTGTGCTCTGGATGGGAGAGCCCCGTGGAGTACAGGGTTGAAGTGAAGGGGCCGGGCCGGGCGTGGGGGGGCCTGTACTTCATCTTTGTTTCGAGAGCACACAATATAACACACAGTTCGACAGGGTTTGCACGGACCATGGAGGGACAGTGTGCAACTGCTCTCTCCTTCCATCCTGAGTCGGTCACCCTGATTCACATGCACTCACTGTCCCCAAGGCTCCTGCCTGAGCCTGTCGGTTACTAATGTCACTTTGATCCCATGGGGACAGTTCTTCAACGAGCACCATGCTCAAGGCAGGCACTTGATTTTAGTAGACAGGATAAGCTGTGGTTTGATTGTAACCAGACTTCCAGGGATACTTTTGGTGTCAGGTTTAAAGCTTGTTTCAGGGGTTCACCCAGCCTCCATGGCCCCAGAAGTTTGCTGTCCATGAGGATTTGAAATTCTTCCTGCAGCTTCCCCCACTTGATCAGGAGTCTTCTCTGGAATGTTGGGTCCAAAATGCTCTGTCCTGGTAGCGTGGCACCGTCTAGTTTCTCCTGGTCTCATGGCAGAGGAGGCACCCAGCCACACACTCCATCGTTACCTCCTGCGCCTTTTTCTCTGCTGCTCCAGTGGAGGGGACTTCAGCTGTTGGGCCTTGGTTGGCTGCCTGCCACTTTTAAGACTCCAGGCACCAGGTAGGGAACCAGGAGGGTGGTCAGAAGGACTAACTAAGCTGTTAACAGGGCCATTCACCAAGATGTCCTGGGAAGCCATGACCCTTGACCTCCAAAGCAGGAGCCGAGTTCACTAGAACAGTCCGCAGTTGTTCCCTTTTGTCATGGCTGTAAACAAACACCAACCAGCTGGGCCAGTGCGTGTTTGACAGGGGCCCAGCGCACTGCAGCGCGCACCGTGACCGGCTGTCCTTTACCCTTAATCACAGGCCACACATGTGGCCGACTTCTTCCCCTCGGCACACTGCCACCTAGTGTCCTGCATGTGGTCGGTAGCATGCAACCTCAGTTCACCTCACTTTCCGGCGAGGGAGCCTTCCGTTGTACGTACAAACAAAGAAAAGGCTCTTCTTTCCCCATCCGATGGGCCTTTGGGTTCACCCCTCTGCTGAAGGCTGGCTCCTCTTTCAGCTGTGTGACCAATGCTGCAGTGAACACCGGCACCTGTCTCTGTTGGAGTCCCTGCTCCCACCTCTTTCCGGCTCACACGCGGGGCAGGAATTGCTGAGTCCGAGGACCCAATTGTTTTGCTTTGTTGAGACACTGCCAGAGTTTGCACAGTGGATGTACCATTTTGCATTTCCAGCAGCATGAGCAAGGGTTCCAATTTCTCCACAGTCTTGACAACACTAGTTATTTCCTGTTTAGATTTTATCATTCTTTAAATCTTAGCCATCTTCCCAAACTGGACTTACAGCCATCAAATCAATTCTAATTCATGGTGACCCTCCAGGACAGAGTAGAGCTGCCCCTGTGAGTTTCTGAGACCGTTACCCTTTACAGGAGTAGAAGGCCTCATCTTTCTCCTGTGGAGCAGCTGGTGGTTTTGAACTGCTGACCACAACGTGTAACCACCATGCCACCAGGGCTTCCTTAGCCATCCTAGTGGGAGTGAGATGGTAACTCATTGTGCTTTGGCTCTGCCTCTCTCTTGGCTAATGACGCTGGGCGCTTGTGCATGTGTTTGGTGGCCATTTGAATGTCCTCACTGGTGAAATATCAATTCAATCCCTGGCCCATATTATGACTGGGTTATTTGACTTTTTGTTGTTAAATGACCAAAGTGTTATAAGTGCTTTCGTTACTAAATTCTTGTCAAAATCATAATTCTACAATTCTTTGGTAGTCTCTGAGGAACACGAGTCTGCAGTTGTTGGGAGCCTGCTCCCTGGCTGCTCTAAGAACGGTCCCATGTCCATTTGCACACTGAGGTCCATTTAGAATGAGTTTTTGTGTATGGTGTGAGGCATGGATCCAGGTTCCATTTTCTGCATATAGAAATCCAATGTTAGCCCTGTTGGCTGAAAAGGTTCATCTTTCCCCGTCCAGTGGGTTCAGCATCCTAGTCAGAAGTCAGCTGACCAGAGGTGTCCCAGGTCTGCCCGGCTGTGGTGGGCGTCGTGTTCCACAGCACCAGACTGCTGTGATGACGGCAGCTCTGCGGCGTGTCTCAAAATCAGGGAGGGGAGTCCTCCTGCTCAGTTCTTGGCTTTCAGAGTTTCATGTGCCCTCGTAGGCTCCACATCAGGGGTTCTCAACCTTCCTGATGCGCGACCCTTTCAGACAGTTCCTCATGTGGTGGTGACCTCCAACCATAATATTATTCTCGTTGCTACTTCATAACTGTCATTTTGCTACTGTGTTGAATCGGGCCACCCCTGTGAAAGGGTCGTTGGACCCCATGTTGAGAACTGCTGCTCCATATGAAGCACTTCTGTAAAGAAGTAGTTGGTTTTCCCACTTCTGTAAAGAAGCTGTTGGAATTTTTCTCAGGCTCATATTGAATGTACAGAACGTAGTAATGACAAGTATTAAATATTAAATCTTCCAACCCATGAACATGGACTATTTTCCCATTTATTTAACCCCCTCGTCTCTCTCAGTGGTGCTCACCACAGACAGAGTGTTCACAGCTCCCGTCGTGTTCCCAGGCATTCCGTTCTGGCAGAAGCTCCTGTTTGTGGCGTTGTCCCTCAAGGCTCCTGTTCCGGTTTCCTGCTGCTGCTGCTGCTGGTGTGCAGAAGCCCAGCGGGTTGTCGCTGACCCTGCACCTTTGCTGCCTTCCTCTGTCAGCATATGCTTTCTCGTGGACTCTTTGGGGTTTTCTCTCTCTGTAAGATCATATTGCGAGTGGAGATCATCTTACTGCTTTTATTTCCATCCTAGATACGTTCTAGATACTTATTGTTCTAAGACTTATAATACAATAGAAGTGGCAAGAGTGACTTATTGGTGTCAGTTCTTTTCCAAGTTTGGTGGGGTCCCCAGTGAACCCCCAGGCCCATGGCTTATATATGTCGGGAGGTCTTCGATCACTGATGAAGTCACTTCACTTGTTCGGTCTGCTGGGACTGTTTCCTCTGACATGAGTGGAGCAGCGTGCATGCCTCTAGGACAACGGTTCTCAACCTGGAGGCCACAACCCTTTTTGGGTCGAAGGACCCTTTCACAGGGGTCGCCCGATTCATCACAGCAGCAAAATGACAGTGATGCAGTGGCAACAAGAATAATGTTATGGTTGGGGGCCACTGCTCTAGGGCTTGGCTCCGTTCCTCTGCGCTCTCCCACTTGCCACACAGCCGTTTACGGGTCCGTGTCATTCGGATTCTGGTACAGACACTAGCCGCAGTTGTGAAGGGCAGGTAGGTCGAGAATGGCCCCTGTGTTCTTGGCTGCAGCACCTCAACCGTGGAACAAACCCGGAACGCATGCTCAGCACTGGCGGTGTCCCTGCAGTTGCCATGGTCACTTCAGAACACTCAGGAGCAGTGGGTGCTTGGTGTGTGGGATCACGCTCTGGTTGGCTCTGACTCCGGGCCCCAGAGCGCCGCCTGTGGAATCCCAAGTGTGTCATCATCATTGTTTTCAGCACTCTCTGTTCTGCCCTCCCTGCCCTGCCCCCCCTCACCCCCCACCCCCGGCCTGCTTATGTTTTCCCTGGTTTGTGGGGGTCAGGTTATCAAAAAACTGGAGTGGAGATGCTACTGTGAGTGGGGTTGGCAGGGCCGGCAGGGCCTAGGTGGTGTCAAGCAGGAGCTGGCATGTGAGATGGTGTCCTCGCCAGCTCCGACGGGAGGAGAAGACATGTCTGCAGCTCAGAGCTCTGTGTCACTTTCAGGCCCTTTTGGCGTCAACCATGGCGTGGAACTGCACTCGGAGGTGACCGAGTATGCGAGGCGGAAGCTGGACCTCTTCATCAAGACCAGCGACAGCTTTGACAAGTAAGAGACCAGCTCGCGCCCGAGGGGCCGTCAGGCAGGATAGGGGACCCGTGCGTGTGTCCGTGGGGCCACAGGCTGCTTTGCTTTCAGTAACCGGCAGTTTTTGCCGGTCTGATCTTTGAAGCAAACCATGTTTCCCTCAGTTTGCTTGTTCCCAGCGTAAACCCTCTGCCATGGAGCGGACAGGGTTCCCGAGACTATCCATCTTTACAAGTGCCGACAGCCTCATCTCTGTCTGGCAGAGCGGGTGGTGGATGTGAACTGCCAACCTGGTGGTTAGCGGCCAGATGCCTAACCCCCAGCAGGCCCTGGCTCCTTGCACCCAGGAGAGACAAATGCATGTTACCCGATTGTTTCTACAGTCAGCTTGCTTGTTTGACTTTAAACATCACAGACAACGTGGCACGTGGCACTCACTGGGTGGCTGGAGTCTCTGGAGAAACCGGTCTGTCCCTGAACAGCAGTTCTTGGCGAAGGCAGCAAAAAGATCATCGCACACATCACTTGATATGGGGGTTATGCTTATATATTTGCTTTCCTAATGAAAACCTATCTAGAGTTCTGTTTACCTAGGGGATCCCTGGGGCACAGTGGATTAGGAGTTGGTCAGCATTTCGGACTTAACAGCTGCTCCATGGGAGAAAGAGGAGGCCATCTGCTCCCATAAGGAGTTACAGCCCCATAAACCCACGGGGCAGCTATGCTCTGTCCTGAAGGGTCGCTGAGAGTCAGCATCGACTCCATGTTGGGTGGGTGTGGGTTTGATCTGATTTACATAATTCTTTGGGGGCCTCTGGCTGTCTGTTTCTGGCCTTGTAAATCAGTTGTATTGCACAGCTGTGCTGTGGGGTTCTCCATTAGCCCATAGCCCATAGAGGGATCAGCAGACGGTCTCGGTAGGTCCCCCATGGCTATTTAATCAATTTTGTGGCACAGCGGCTGGACAGTGCTTCTTTACAGAAGCAGACTTCCACATCTCCCTCCCATGGGGGCTGGTGAGCTCATCCTCTGGGATTGCAGCCCATGGCACCACTAGGGCTCTTCACAGAACTGCCACAAAGGTGACAGGCTCATTTACAGAGACATTTTTTACCTCAGGTTTGAATTCTGCGAACCTTCCTTTGTGACTGGCAACTGCCTGGAGCTCTCCCCAGACTGCACGCAGTATGACCGCGTGTACTGCGGCGCCGGGGTGCAGAAGGAGCATGAGGACTACATGAAGAACCTGCTCAGAGTCGGTGGCATTCTGGTCATGCCTCTGGAAGAGAAGGTCAGGGTGTGTGCGTGCGTGCGTGCATGTGTGTGCGCGCGCGCCCGGGCTTGCGTGCATGGGTGACCCCTCAGAGCCCTCACAGCAGCTCCTCCGAGGGTTTCCCAGATGAGAAGCAGAGGCAGGTGGACAGGCCCTCGAGGTGGCCCCTGTGCTCAGCCCTCAGCTGACGTCAGTGTTTGATGCCAGGGCCAGTTGTTGCTTTTGACCTTGGGTTGTAGCGCACATTCTTGCTACGATCGTCACTTGGGAAACATGGGCTGTGAGAAATCATGAGATTACACGGACGTGTGACAGACAGCAAGTACTAGGACACATGGACGTGATAAAGATGAAGAGATGGCACCTGGTGCCATCGTGGCCATGTTAGCATTGAATGTGCTTTGTCCCTGAACTTTACAGGTTCAATCATTTGTTGAAGTTGTTGGATACAAGAGTGATGGCCTGAAATGTAGACTCCTATCTAAGTTCACAATCAAAGGCTAACAAACTGAAACATGAGATGCCCTTTTTGGACCAACCAGACTGCAGACAGAGCTGCTGCTGCTGCCATCACTGCTGAGAGGCTGTGATTCTCTAAACCCTTCTTCCAGAAAGTTCCTCTTCAGGGTGGCTTGTGACCCCAGTGTCCACTGAAAGTGGCTGATACGAAGCCATGAGCTGCCAGCCCCAGCAGGGCACCAGGCGCTAAGCAGGGCACCTGCTAGACATTGTATTGTGTGTCAGTGACTGGCCAGGCTCAGGTGCAGCAGCACCAAAAGCCAGTGTCATAACCTAAATGCACAAATAACAGTCATCCAAATGACTTCAGGTACTCAGTCACCAGGTGAATGTTCCTGCTTGTCTGACAAGAAACTCTTAGCTTGGTTAGTGTAAATGACGCTCTATTTAAGTCCACCGATTACATTTGCTTAATATCTGTCTCTTAGTGTTTCAAGTGAGATGCTCCTTCTTTCTCATTATTTCTGTGTAATTCACTGGTCGAAGGAACGAGGTCCTTTGTCTCAGCCTCCCTGCACACCAGCATTGGACCCACAAACTCAGCTGATCCAAGTCAGAGGGACTGATTGTGTTGAGAACACGGTTTCGTGGGTAGCTGTCTGCCCACATCATGCCCCAGAATCATGCCTTGTAGTTCCATTACTTTGTTGTTCCATCTCTTGGCTGGTCTGGAGACAGGAGGGAGGCCAGATTGGACCCTTCACTTGCCCTTCCTGGCTCTGTCCAAGGCCGTGTGTGCTTGTCTGCCTTGTGTTCAGCAATATCGGTCCTTAGACAGAGAGTATCTAGACATCTGTGTGACTGCGGGCTGTGCTGGGTGCTACTTGAATTGTGTGCATGCGGCTCACAGGCGGAGGCAGGCAGGTGGTGGTGTTGCTTGTGCTTGCCCGGGAAGTGATGTGGCGGGGGTGGGTTGCTATCTCAGACTGCACAGTTGCCGTTTCTGCCAGCACATGGGCACGAGGTTCTCCCAGGGTGCAGAGTCCTGGCGTTTAGGGGACTTACTAGTTAAGCTATTTTCACACCAGACTGGTCCTACACTCTTGGTGTGACAGAGTTGACCAGAAATAGCACAGGCACCTGCTGGGCACTTGGTAACTTCCCAGGTCCAAAAACCATGTGGTCAGCAGGGTGTTGGTCTAGTCAGGCATCCTGGTGCTCCCAGTACTCGCTGGGCTGCAGCTGTTTCCATGGGTGTCACAGGAGGTCCTTGGTGCCCCTGAGGTCAAGTGCCCCCAGGGGTGGGTGGTCTCATCCTCAGCCATGGTGCTGAGGTCACACTCAAGGGCCTTCCTAAGAGTTCTGTAACCGCATCTTCTATGGCACATGGCCAAGAATGTCTAGTTGTTGCAAGATTGTTTTTTATAGCTCCTCAAAACGGAAAGATGGAAGATTTCAACAGAGTTGAGCATTCAGGTGGCTGTCACTGATTTGACTTTTGGATTGGTGCATGCCCTCCCCCTTCTCCCAGGTGCCCCGCCGGGCCCCCTCTCCTTCCTTGACCTGGTGTGTCTGCACTGGCTGGAGGCGTAAGTGTCCTCGGTGAGCAGGCCCGAGGAGGTGCCGCTACCCTGTGCCCCTGCTCTGTAGTATGTGTGTATGGTGGGGACAGGACACTTCAGTCTCAGTACCCAGAGCTTCTTTGTCTCTGGGACAGCTGACCAAGATAACACGGACTGGTCCTTCTGCGTGGGAGACCAAGAAGATCCTGGCAGTTTCTTTTGCTCCTCTTATCCAGCCCTGCCACTCCGAGTCTGGGCAGTCACGCCTTGTCCAGTTACGTAAGTACAAAGGTTGAGACTGCTTCGGGAGCAACATCATCTCAGGAGACCTGGAAAGGGTACACAATTGACAAGCAGCCTCTAGGATCAGTGCCTGCCCCACCCGACCCCCACTTCTACCCCGGGTTCCTACTGGGCCCCAGCCTGAGTTGGGCTTGCAGAGGACCCCCAAATATCCCCCAACACACAGACACAACGGGGTGGGGTTTTTTTGTGACGATTCCTTGGCCCCGCCCCTCTGCAGCCACTTCTCCCAGGTCACAGCCAGCAAGCCCCATACGTTTGTTCTCCAGTTTCAACAAAGATTCACAGGCATTGAGAGTGCCAGTCCGTTTTAATCATTTCACATGAAACGACTGTGCATGCCCTGGTGCTCCTTCGGGAAATCAGGAAAATGTCAAACAAAAGAAAAGGCAAGGAGAGAGAGGTGATGCATTTACACCCCCGCCCCTAGGGACAGGAGTCTCGGGCCTTCACGCCCGCTCACTTCCATTTCTCCTGGGCTGCCCGCCTGGCCCGGCAGACCGCGGCTGGAA